CATACATTACATTCATACATTACATTCATACATACATTCATACATACCATTACATTACATACCATTACATTACATTACATTACATTACATTACATACATACATACATACAATATTATATATATACATACTTTATAATCATACATATATATATATATACATCTTATATGATACATAGAATAATTTGCAATTCATCAACACACACCAAGTACTGGCAGCAAATAATTACACACATCAAGCTACAATTCACCAAGATTTATCCCGCAGCTCGACATCTCAAACTAGGCAACTAGGCCCAGTTTGAGTGCCGGATGCCCCAAATTGCCATGACCTTCAACAAAAAAATGGAAGGTTTTTAGCTACAAAAAAACGACCGGTCACTCTATGTCTTTCCAGAAATTGATGCCTTTTAGGCTCCTAGAAAGTGATTTACAAATGGGGCTGAGTCAAGCTACCTATGAAATTGAAATGAAATTTGACTTGGGGAATAGCCATCCAGCATCATCCAGCTATGACTTAGGGTACCGTTTGGGTATCATGCTTTTGACGGTGCCTCGCACCAGCTCATCGCGCGAGAGACTGCCATCTTTGTCCAGATCAAAGGTGCGGAAGGCCTGCAGAGCCACTGCTTGCTGCTTGGTTACTGCTTGGTTTAGTTACTGGAGTTCCCAAAGAAAACCAAGCATCAACCATAATCAACCACATCCACACATATCACATATCCATACTACATACGGAAAAATTGAGTGGTTAAACCATGTTAAACCCATGTTTGAAGACATTTGATGCTTCAACAACCATCAACCCGTGGATTGTGGTGCTCAGTTGAACGCGGACTGGCCTCATTGATCCGTTTCAGCTGCCCGGCATCCATCTGCGTGGCCACCAAGCGTGCCTGGGACCGACAGGCCCAAGCTTTCCAAGCTTACATAATGAGAAACTCCATACAATCACAACAAGAAAAGGAACCATGTGTATATATATAGTTGTTATATTATATATATATACATAATCACATATACATTGAATCTGTTGAGCCGGAATGTTCGCACAAACAAGTTGAGAATATCAGTTCGCAAATTCAGCTATGTTCAATCCCGTCCTGAAATGTGGATTTTTCAGCTGGCGATGTTCAAAACCCGCTGTTCGTCATCCCTGGCCCTTTGTTCTCGCTGTTTAAGAACTGGATCCTCAGTTCATGGATGATCATGGATAATAAAAGCCCTATGTTAACAAATCGACAGGGGTCAAATGAGCAGTGATGAAAAAAAAAACCTCAATGTCATCCCTAAAAAACCAACGGGATTCCCATGGGTTATGATCATCTCCAACATATTGCAGTGTAAAATCCAAAAAAAAACATCATAGAAATCATCATAAAATTATTATAAAATCATCAACAGGGGGTTTTGAAGCCTGATTGAATGGTCACCTATTCATTTTCCCATGGGGATCTCCGCATGAAAAGAAACCGCTCGTACCGAGGCCGCAGCCACGAAGCGTTCAAAGCTGCTGCGTTCTTTCACCTGCGGAGATAGATGCTGTTAGAAAATCACACGAAATCATCATTTATGGTGCGGAAACAAAACAACACGCTTATGATCATTTATGTTTGTAGCCACCCTCCTTTGAGTTTCTTTTTACATGTTTTGGGTGGGTTGTTGAAGCCCCCAATGCGTAGCGATCTGCCATGAGTTGGGGGTTTAGAAGCTTGGTGACTACTCAAAATGATTTAAAATGTGCTACACATTTTCAGGGTCTGTGTGTGTGTGTGTGTGTTCATTTGGGTGAGGGTCATCCGCATTTCGAACGTGTTTTGGATATGCCGGACGTGGATTTCACTCACCTGGCTCGTCTTTGTTCGCATGTCTATTCGTCTATTCGCAGGTGAAATGGGTGAAAAATGCCGGATGGGACTCAACAGGAGTGATGGCAGTTCAAGATGGAATGAATATGACTGACTGACAATGAATGGGGTGATATATTTGCACATCTCAAAAGCAAAAAAATTGATCCCATCCCTCCAGTGGTCCAGAGCCTGCAGCAAACCTCGACCCAACTTCTGGATATCAGAACTGCTCGAACCTGGCCGCATATGGGCGGGCGGCATCCTTTCCTGCCAGTGCAATGGCCTCAAGAATGCTAACTTTTGTTGGATAATCTTGCCATATTCCTTCCATTTTGGGCTCGAAATGAACATAAATGAACCAAATCACCCACCAAAAGCGACAATTCACCAAGGTATCAACTTCGCATTATCAACGTTGAAGGGCCTAAGAACAACATGGCCATGGGGACAAGGCCCCAAATCGATGTTTTTTCTGACTCAAAATGAAGGAAATGGCTTGAAAATGCTTGAAACTTCGACCGCAGAGCCCCTTCTATCACCCAAGGCACCTAGCCCAAAGCGGCGGAACCTCAGTGCCGGTACCATGGATGCCATCGATTCAAAATCTATGCAAGTACACTGGGCCAAAATGATTGGTCTCTTCAAGAGTCTCTTCATTCAAACCTTGGGGGTACTCAATCTTGACCCAACCTCTATGAAATTCTCACAAGGTCTGACTTCATCGAAGTCCTCGACAATCAAAATTTGCAGACCACTGCAACCAAACAAAACACCCAGGACTTCTTTTTGAAACCCTTGCCGAAGCTTAATTCTTCCGAGCGTGATTTCCCACATCTCACTAAACCAAACTGACATTCGCATCCGCGTACCAGTCCCATACCTCAAAGAACTTACCAGGTAACCACTAGGGCGAACATCCCCTGTGCTTAATCTTCATGGTTACTGCGAATTTGCAACCTCAAAACCTTCAACCATCCACAACTGGATGGTACCAAACAAATACCATCTAAAGCCATTTGCCCCTTGTCCAATCTTTTCCGCGCCACGTTTCTCACAGCCCGGGGACACACCTCCTGGCCTTCATTCAGTGTCGAAAAAGGCTCCAAACGGATCCAGTGGCGATCATCTTTGGCCCTGGATCTTCAGCTCTCGGCTACCCGTTTCACAAAGCCGTTTCGCTATGCAGCGGAGCCGATCTCCGTCTCATTGCAATAAGCCCAAAGCTTCACCTGTTGCAGTTTCTTCCTCTTCGACTCCCAGCCCACCACATGGGTGGCATGGTAGGCGACCATCCGAGGCTCTTCTAAGGCAGACGCGGGCGTGAAACATCCCAAGATGTATTCCCATGGACTCATATCGCAATAGTTGAAGACCTGGCTAAAAATTCTCGAACATGTTCAAGAATAATCAAAAACTATTGGGGTACCAATTTTTGGCAAAAAAAGACTTGGCTCTGGGCTATGGCGGCTATGGTCATCTTTAATCCAAACTATCAAAAACCCTCCAAGGTCTTGGCAAATTGTTGCGCCAATCCCACCTGGGATTCCTCTATTCCACTGCAGCTCTCGTTGTTGTCACAGTGCCGGAAGCAAGCGACGTAGTCTTTGGCCGACCTCTTCTTCCGTCGCGAATCGAAGAGAGCATCCCAGAAATTCTCCTGGTCGTCCATATGGGGCCGACTGTCGCACCATGCGACACCTTTGTCGAAGACCTTTTGCACAATGGTCTGCTTCCGTCCGCCAGCGACGTAGTAGAAACCCGTGTTCCCTTTGTTGGGTTCTTGATGCCAGATTTCGGGCTTGAAATTCTGAATCTTTTGGTTTCCAGGCTCTATCTTGCGGCCATAGATGTACTCATACTTCCCTGAGCGGATCATGCTACCCAGCGTCAGAGTTGGCAAGAACGGATCGCTCTTGAAGACGTTATCACCATCCGAAAAAACGATGTCCAGATTGGTGCTTCTCAAGACCTAAATGGTGGTGCAATGATGTCGAACAAACGGCAATGGCAATGGGAAATCCATTTGTTTTCCTGTGTGACAAATCGCCAATAGATAGATTCACTGCTGACTTTCCGGCAATGTTACCCTCTGGTAAACTAACATAGCTATGGAAAATCACTATTTTTAATGGGTAAATCCACTATAAATGGCGATTTTCAATAGCTATTTTGACATAACCAGAGGGTACCCGATTTTATTATCAAGCCGCAACTCCGTTCAAAACATGGGGTGACGTGCGTTTGTGAACCACAACCGGCACCTCTGCCACGGAGCGAATCTTGTTGCACGCGATCAACTGGAAGCCGCCCTTGGAGAAGAAGCCCTCGGCCTTCTGCCATTCCTTTCCCGTGGCCGAAAAACTTCGTTCGCCCAGGTGCTGTTGGAGCTCGCTGTCGATGGCGATCACCATCCAGTCCAAGCCCAATCTCTGTGCAATGCATTCCTAGCAGCTGAACGACTGATATATATATATGTGTATAATATATAATATACAATATATAATATATAATATATAATATATAATATATAATATAATATAATATAATATAATATAAATATAATATAATATAATATAATTATATATGTGTGTGTGTTCTTTTTTTGTCCACCCCACTTTTTTGCCATCTGAGTAGGGAAAATGATGATTACTGTATGTGCTCGAAAATAAACTATGACAACTTGGAAATGGAATGTCAAAAGAAAAACTCCACCTTCAACCATAGATTCCCAATTGGTCAGCATTTCCAGGTACCCAGAGTTGGCCGCAGTCAGCAGCAACACATTCTTCAACTCCGGCGCGTGGCTCTTGTCTCGGTACACCCCAGCGTGGCGCTGCAGTCGCGCGGCCAACGGCTCGGAGCCTGGCTCCTGTGGCTCCAAAGATGGGTTGACCCCAAGCTCTGGCAACTTTCATAAAGAGTGTAAACCATGGGATGGGGTACAAACATGTACAAACAACCTCAAATAAAAAAAAAAAACAATAAATCCCATCAACCCCCCCTGAATTTTGTGGACTCATGGAAAATAGATCCAAAAAAAATCACAGAAACTCAGCAAGCCAAGTCTCGGGTGATTGAGGTGGTGTTGTTGTCACTTCAACCACCTCTTGATCAGCAGGTTCCACTTGGGATTGTTTTTTTTCTGGTGCCTGAGGCATGGATGTGTTGAGGCTATCTGAATGGGATAGACTATATAGACTTTATGGATTATAGACTATAGAGACTATATAGACTTTATAGACTATATAGACTTTATAGATTATGTAGACTATATAGACTTTATGGATTGTAGACTATAGAGACTATATAGACTTTATAGATTATGTAGACTATATAGACTTTATGGATTATAGACTATAGAGACTATATAGACTTTATAGACTTTATAGATTATAGACTATATAGACTATAGAGACTATATAGACATAATATATCGATATGGGTCAATACCTATATATCCCACCATTTAAGGGTGCTCCCATCCCAAAGCAGGGCGATGCTCGGCGCCTCGGGCGCCTCGGGCGCCTCGGGCGCCTCGGGCGCCTCGGGCAGGGCCGCCTTGCCGCCGCCTGGAGGGATGATAGTGTGGTTAGTAATGGTTAATATAATTAATAAATAATCAACCATTGATATAATTAACCATCATCATCATCATCATCATCAATGATTTAACCATAATGGTGATTAGTGGTTAGATTGGTTAGTAATTAACCATCATCATCAATAACAATAATTAATCATTAATCATTTGTAATGGCTAATCGTCATAATTGATCATCAACAACCAATCAACATTTATTCGGATGATGGATAGTAATGGATGACTCATAATTGTTAACGATGGTTGTTGATGATGAATGATTGGTGTTGTTGATGATGATGATGATGATGATGATTGGTGGATGGATGATGGATTATTTTCAGACAAACCCATTTGGTTAAAGCCCAAAAGTCAAACTTCAAACTATGAAAATAAATCTCTAAGTTATGGATCGTTTTGAGAGGGATACCAATCGTTCGAGGTTATATCTGGGGAGTCTTGACCGAACTATGGCCTGAATTTCTGGGGATTTCATAGGATATCCAACCAACAATATGATCACAACGGAGGTGTCCTAGGTCTTGGAAAGCCCAAAAAATCAGTGGTCGTTTCCTCTAGGGAAACAAATTGTGAAAAACCCATCTGGCCAAATTTGGGCCCCAAAAAATCCCCGTGGATGGGGGAAATCCACCACTTTGGGTTTCCTAGGACCCGAGGTTTTCAATGGCTTTCATATTAGAAACTACCCTAGGGCAACATTTCGCAAGAAATAAAGTTGCTGTGACCGTGGGGTGAGTCCCTTTACTAAGCACCTACAGTGAGTTCAGTGTGATTTCACTAGTCTACCCAGAAATATAGGTAAATGAATGCGTTTACCCAGTGCATTCTAAATGACTGGTAGGTCTCTTGCTCAGTCATAACTTGTAGGGACCCCGGATTGATAAACCTCTGCATTGTTTAATTGGGGGCGACAACCAATTTTAGTAGCAAATGCAATCACTTTTTGGGGTTGGGGCTGCCCTAATTGGTAAATATTGGTAATTCACCAAGTTGAACTAACGTTTTTTGAGGATGGCTCCTCTTGAGTACCATCATTAATATGGTCACGGTACGTAAAGGTGTTGTATCTAATTCCACCCGAATTTGTTATATGGCACCCTGTGGTAAATGATGTAATGTATATCATATACCCATATGAAATTCTGGCACCCAATCACCAAGTAAAAAAAAATCAAATTTTGATGCATGTACTGCACCCATACATGGAGCACCCTTGGGAGAATCTAACATGGCCGCTGTGTCCACCCTACAAGGTGAGGCCCCCCAGTTCCAGTTCGGTTTCGATCCATCCCCAGTTCCGAGCGCCTGTGTGGCAATAAACTGCACTGTGAGTAGGGGAAATATGATGACACTCCATTGGAATTGGGGAAAAAAAAACGATCTTCCAAACAAGCCCATATAATATCATATACCCTCTGGTAATTTAACATAGCTATTGAAAATGGCCATTTATAGTGGATTTTCCCATTAAAAATGGTGATTTTCCATTGCTATGTTAGTTTACCAGAGGTTAATATGGTTCTGTCCAAAAGTTAGGTACCTGAAAATCCACTGGTCTATCATAACCTTCCCTAAGGTTAAAGCTCAAAAGATCCAGACATTGACATTTCATCGGTGAGTGGCATGTTACCCATGTTTGAGCCTAACGTTGATCTATCCAAGGAAGAAGTTCGTAATATTAGTGTAAACAAGTGTTATGCATACATGCATTTATTTTCAGTTCATTTACTTATTTAGCAATGTTTCCCAGTATGTCTTCTCTATTCTGTATATGAATACTTATTTGTACATGTGTGTATATATATATATTTATGCTATGATACATCTATGACTATGAGACATGCCTGCCAGACCGTGTCGCCAAGCAACCGCCATCCCTTGAGGTCAACATTTGAAGTTGTTCCGTAAGATCGTCCAAACCTGGGCGACTGATAAGACCACCATGGTCATGTTTGATCTATAAGACTATGCATCTCTATATGATATGATATGATATTATATGATATGATATGATATGATATGTATTTGATGTACAATATGAATATATATATATACTGTATATTCATATGAATCAGTTTGCATTCATGATTATTCATGAGTATACATATATATATAGTATGTATATATATATATATATTATCCATGCAAGCATGGCAATGTGATGCTAGACCCCTGGGCCTGGCGGCATCACCTCGCTTTGCTTCAGCATCAACAGGAGGGTGCCTCCATTGGGATTTTCGATGCTGACCCGGGATGATCCCCTCGTTTTGACCCGTTTTGTTGGTCAAAAAACACCAAAAAAACACCAAGCAACGGCCATTTCGATCCATTGCGGCCATTGAAAAATGTGGTTTCGATGTGTTTCAAAAATTCGGGCAACGGGAGAATATCAGCCACTTCGTCTCCGTGACTTGCTGAAAAATCCCCCCATCCTTCGACGTTCCCAGCGAACTAAACCTGCATTTGGTTCTTGGATCTTTCATGTTTGAGTGGAGGGTATATGAACGTATATGATACATCTTAGGCCTGAATCAGACCCTGCCTGTAGCCAGCAGGAGCATGAAACATTGACACCGGTGCATGTTGCCGAAACCACAAGTACTTTGCAAGTGGAGGGCGGAACGGTTTTACCGCCTCTTCGCAGCACAAAGAAACACCATGGCAAGACCGTGGTGATGTCTGGGTTGTGGTAGGTGTGCATGTTGTGTGCTGGGAAGCGCTTTCCTTGAAATAGATATGATTCATTCTTAACAAGTCTTGCCTATGTTAGCTGAATGCAGGTGATTTCAGGCACCAACACGTCAGCCGTCAAAAACCCTCACATCAGTGAAAGCCCTCGGTCCGGAAAGCATCAGCTGAGTCGGACCAAACAGAAGAATCGGAGTCGTACCGCGGTCGCTGTTGGTAAATAGGGGCTACAACTCTGTTCGTGGCAATTCTTCCAAAGAATCAGAATACCTCCACTATTCTTGGGGGCTATTTGATCTTGCCAAAAAAAACATGATCGTTCCTGATCGTTCCTACTGATCCCTTCCCCGTAATTTTAAGTACCCTCTGGTAATTTAACATAGCTATTGAAAATGGCCATAGAAATAGTGGATTTACCCATTAAAAATGGTGATTTTCCATAGCTTTTTGTATGTTTACCAGAGGGTACCCCCTTGATTCCCTGCTTGATTTTCGGATCTGTTCACTTTGCGGACCCACCTTGGGTGATGGCATCTTTGCAAGGCCCCAAGACGATGCCATGCCTAAAAGTCTTTCCAGGATGATCGAGAATCTAGACAATCTCTTCGTATGTCTATATATATATAGAGAGAGAGAGAATCATGTATAATATATATATATACATACATATATATATGTATGTTCATCATGTTCATCATTTTCATCATTTTATCTATAAAGTCCAGGTTTTCTACGTTTCTATCGACCTTTGGATGTCGCTATACCCCCCTCACAAAACACCGCGACGCGCCACTGGAGCCCCTCACCAGGCATTGGAGAGCAGTTCCTGCGCGGGCGGCCTTGGTCCGGGATGGCAAGCCGGGGGGTTCATGCGGGTTCCATAAATGCATACCCTCTGGTAAACTAACATAACTATGGAAAATCACATTTGTTTTATGGGAAAATCAACTATAAATTGCCATTTTCAATAGCTATGTTGGTTTACCAGAGGGTATAAATGATATATATATATAAACCATAATATACCATAATATATAGTCATTACCATGGTAATAATATGTTATGGTAATGACTATATTACTGGTTGGTGGTTTTTCGCCACCCCTCTGAAAAAATATTACTGGTTGGTGGTTTTTCGCCACCCCTCTGAAAAATATGAGTCAGTTGGGATGATTTTCCATTCCCAACTGAATGGAAAGTCATAATCCAGTCATGTTCCAAACCACCAACCAGATAGATATAAATGATATAAATAATGATATAAACATCCATAAACCTCACTTATTGACATAAACATCATAAACCATTCATATTGATACAAGACTTGAGGATAGAATCATAGATATAAATGGGGGATCCCCAATAGCTGGATAGTTTATTTCATGGCAAATCTCACACCAAAATGAATGATTTAGGGATACGGATGTAATCAACAACAATTGGGGATTTCTATGTAGTTTTTTATGTTTTTTTAGCTCACCAAATTTGGCGAATTGGCGAGTCATTACTCGCTTCATGGATATCTACCAACAAACATAACTGGGTGGCACCGATTTTAGGATGAATTAAAGCACCTTTTTGGGGCAACCAACTTCCCATGAGACAACAATCATTCGCGAATTAATTGATGAATCCGGGGTTGACACTAATTTTTGGTCCATGACGGATTTAAAAAACATGACGGGGTTTTCCCCGTGATTTGCCATGGGATTTGCCACGCCAATCTTGGGACATATTGGGACTGCACCCATCGGTCAGGTTCTGGATTTGCCAAGACATGGGATATACAGTACCCAAACTTAGGGCAAGTTGAGCACATGATATTACATGATATGACCATGGATTTGTTCATGGGATTTTGGGGCTACACCTTGACAGAGCCATGACAAACCCTCTGAGAGTCTGGAAAACTTGGATTACCGGAGGGTCAGCATAAAGATCGTTGTGAGAGTGGTCGTATGTCGAGGAATTTCCTAGGCTTTGATAGTGGTCGGAACTTCGTCATGCCGAAAATACCAGTACTTTGTTGTGACTTTCACACATCAGCCAAGCAAATGGCCAGCTATCTAGGGTCAACATTGTTCAAAGTCAACGGGTAACGGTTTCAATAATCCAACGGAACAAGTGGTTACGAGCAGCATCATTCAAGTCCACCATGTAGACAACGAAAAAAACACGAAGAAAATCCACGAGTTCCTTGTGTCACCGGTGCATGGATTTTTGTAGTCTACAATTGGTTCTCCCAGCAGAGAGGTGCATATGGTTCTCCCATGTTCTCCCTAGAAACCCGAGCTACGGCCACCTCACTTTGATCCCGCACCGATCTGCTTCCCGCTTGCCTCAGTACGGTGCTATCCTATCAGCCAACTCCACTGGCCAGGGCCAGGGCCCACTGGGGACCCCCACACAGCATGTCGAAGCAAATGTATTGCGCCTCGCTACTGGCTCCTCCAATCCGTGACCACTCGGGCCTTGGTGACGAACTGTGGCACTGGGAAATCCCTATGGAAGTGGAGGATTTGCCATTGCCATGTTTGATTCCTGGAGGGTGAATCATGGAAGTAACTGGGCCATAGCTTTCACACCGTTAAATTACAGTTTGGGTAGGCCTTAACACTTAACACGCATTTGGAGACAGCAAAAGTTGAGATCCAAGATCTAAGCAAAAGAAGTTTGGATTGTTTTCAGCAAAGATTGTGAACGAACCATCAAATTTTGGATGTTACCAGTGAAAATTCATAGGAAACCCCAGGGGGGGCTCCTGTGAATTGCCTACACTTCTGGGACCTCAGTTCATCGGATATCGATCCCAACCTTTGGAAAAAGAAACACTGGGTCACACCCCAGGTGCCTCCCTGCAATGACAGGCCCACTCTCAGTTGTAGATTGCTACAGATTGGTTAGTTCATCTCATTTAACTGGGTTTATAACCCTTATATACTGGTAGATCACTACTTAGGGGTCAGTTAGGGGTATTTCAAAACATGTTGAACCCGCAGAAAATTGACAGCTGGCTAGGGCCCCTAGCTCTCGCGCCACTGCAGCAGGAAACTCCTCCGACCCCAAAAGCGGTGAGACCATCTGGAAAACGACCAATTTGAGAAATTGTTTGGGATTCCGCGACCAGAACTTTGGAAAATCACCCAATTCTCCAATTTTGGATGGCTAGATCATGCTGGGCCATGGGCCATGTACCTCGATCCGCTTCGCCATAAAGGGGTAGGTGCCACTGAGCATGAAGAACAACATGACGCCACAAGACCTGGTAGCTTCATCCCTTTTGATTGCCATAGCCGGACCCAGCCAGTCTTCACATCTCTTGAGTCAATGTCCATCATCAATTTGTGCCACGGCAAAATCATGTTGACCTTTTTTGCCTATAATAACATCCTAGTTCCCACCTTCCCAAAACTGATTCAAGAGCAAAAGCTACAGCAAAAACCCAATATTGTAACATATTTTTTCACAATAGTGTCCTATCAATTTCCCTTCTGTAAACCAACCCATTGAAGAAATTTCAATGTGTCATGTTTTAATCCCCAACTATTTTTTGTGCTTGGGAAAGTCTTGGTAGCTCCATTGCTCTAAAAATGTCAATTTTCGAAGATGGATACCGGTTACCCAGCTCCGAACAGCTCCCTCCTACCAACTGGATAGCCAATTTTGATCATAAAATCTGTGACTCGGATCCCCTTCCATCCCAAAAACCCCTTCCCCAACTCGGCCAAAGGGGCCAAATGTCGCAGCTCTGGCTGAAGTTGCCAGCCCAGACCTGGTTTCGCAAGTCCAGCAAAGGCTTGGCCAGGCTTGGCAATACTGTCTGTATCTGTTACAAGGTGAGGCCCCTAACTTGTTATGTTTCCTGGTTCAGATATTTCACCCCCATGAAAACGTGAAAACGTCCCAGGTCCACCCCATTCATACTATCACACTATAGTTATATCATATTATACGTCATCAACCCTAGTTGACCATATACTATAGTTAATCAATCATGTTATATCATATGATACTATAGTTATATCATTAATAATATATCCCTTAAAGTTCATCATTAAACAATCATATTATATCCTAGTTAAGCAAGTTATAAGTCAACGTGCCAGGGCACCTCTGGGGACATGAAGGGCGGCGTGCCGGCGATCTCCGTACCACGACCCTCCGGCGACAACCTGCGCGGCAGTCACCAAAGCCGCAATCTCTCAAGTCTCAGGGACCTTTGCTATCAAATTATATATATATACACATAATATATATATACATACAGATCATATACACATTTATGTATATATTATTATATATATATATATAATTATATATATACATATTAGATATACTATCAACATACTAAGATCCTTCATGCTTAAGCCATTCAGGTCAGTGCTTTTTTTTGCACCAACCACACCTCATCCACCTGATCCTGCCCGCGACCCCGCGACCCTTTTCAGCTCACAGGTTGCACTCCGCCGGTGGCAGCAACACCACGTTGCCAGCGGCACCACCCGAGCTGGGCGCCATCACCTCGACAACGTTGATCTTTCAGTGGCATCCAAGTGGGATCCAGGGGTTTTCCATGGGAAAATCATCAAAAACTGAGATGTTTATGCTAGATTTTGATCCATTTTCATCCACTTTTCCAGGCTCCAAGTCTGATTTTCTTCCATGTTCCATATTTTCAGGTCCAACAAATTTCCCAGCGCACCTCCACATGGGCTTTTGCCGCCTCCTGGAGAGGCAGCTCTAATCCCACCACTGGCACCTTGGAAAGTTCACTCAGTTGACTCCTTCAACCAATGACTTGGAGCCCTGGAAAATCTGGGAGAAAACAAACATTGGATTGGATTTATCAAAGAGGACAAATTCATTGGTTTTGTCTTTGGAAGACATCCAGTGATTATCAATAATTGTTTGACTCTCTGCTCAAACTTGAAAGTTTAAAATCATAGAGTAAAACAGATTTAGAAGATGTTCTCCAAATCCAAATGTGCATTTGTATTCACTAAGACTTGGGAAACGGAAATGGGGCATTTGCTGCGTTCAGCAGTATGGGACTTGCCATAGCATCTGAGATCTACCGGGCTAGCTAATATCATTGGACCTGTTTGGTTTTTAAGTCGACATAATACCCTCCAGTAGTCATGGCAATGGGAAATCCCAAAAAAAAATCCAGGTGGTGGTGGGAAAATCATCGAACCTGGTGGATTCTCCACTGCCAAATGCTGCACTAAGCGGCCAGGGCTTTGCGTTGCATGGCGTCGAACAATGAGGCATGAATGTCCTCATTCACTCGTTGATTGAAGCTCAAGACCTACAGAAAACCATGATTGTGTCATCCAGGTATTGGATTTGTACCCTCCATAGTATAAGAATATACCAAGATCTTGGATGTGTATCCTTCAAACATGTTCAAAAACAAGAAGATTCCAATTTTCCCAATAAAAGCCGGAGTTTCCGTGACATTTCCGTGCAACCCATGACTTCAGAGCTGGAGTGAGAACCCCTCGTTTCGTATTGGATCTATTCATCTTGGGGGACCAGATTTTTTTCGGTGGGAATTGGCTGCGATCATCTTGCCATGACACTGGAAATCCTTGGCCGCCCATTCCACATGAAAATGGTGACCATCCCCAATATGCGGAATTGTCTGAACATGGGGTACCCCCTAAAACCACTGGTTGATCATCATTGTCTGCATTGAAATCGCAATTGTGGATCATTTTGGTGGTATACCCCCATGTTCAGACACGCCCAAATATCAGATTGTTGATGATATGTCTCATTAAATTCACATTTAAATCACCATGAATATCCAACTAACTTGACCATTGCACATCATGGCACCCCCACTGTCCTGTAACTCTTCAGGAGTAGCTGAACCCAAAAAGACCCCACGCACGTCGACCTGCTTTGGCCTGGACGTCCAAGCGAAAAAAAAAAAACGCTGAACCCAAAGGTGGCCATCTTGGCTTCTTTTGTACCTGCGATAATCTGTTTTGTGTGTATATATATATAAATGTGGAGGTTTCCTAAAATGGGGGTACCCCCAAATCATCCATGTTATTTTCGGATGTTCCATGAAATAAACCATCCATTTTGGTGATCCCCCATTTTCAGACGAAGCCATATTATATATGGATTCCGTTGCCATCATGGGCGACCAGAAGCCAGAAACCTGGTACAGACACCATAGCCAAAGGTACCACCCAGAACAATATGAAAGCCATATCTTTGGGCATCCCTGTCTTGCCTACTTTGGTTGTTTCAATTCTCTATGATTTCAGGGATGCTCACCTTAGTTTCTACCCATTCATCATTCATCCATCTGGATAGTTTGCAAAAACTCCCCAGGACTGGGCGCCGAAGATCACGAGATCCAAGATATTCTGCTCGGGTTTCGTTGAAGGCCGTCGAAAACTAGGGAAAGGAAGGGATTGTCCATTCCAAAAAATGAATAAACATGAGTCATTCATCATTCCGAAAGCGATCTATGGTAAAGAATATGTGAAAATCATAGATTCTTGATGCTTCCCTCAATATTCAACAGATATCAACAGATATGAACCATCAGATTCCAAATCCAAATCCAGATTTGGACCGAAGTAACTGAAGTAACCATTACTTTAAATATCTTTAAATGGAGGTTTCCTAAAATGGAGATACCCCACATCATCCAAGTCATTAGACCATGGTACTTGGTACTATTCAATTTTGGGGATCCCCCATAGGAACCCTCCATATGTCATCGCATGTTTCATGGTGACGTCGCAACAGGTGCCAGGCGACATCAAGGTGCGCGGGTTGATGTTGATGTCCTGCGACTTTGATCCGACAATGCCTCGGTCATAGTTCTGAAAAAGGCACCGACTTTGGCTGCACATAGCTGCACGGTTCTACTAAAATAGTGGTCAACGACTGTTCTATTTATCTTTTTTGGGGGGATAAGGAGAAAATGTTTAATGGGTTGCTTAAATGGGTGGCCAAAAGATCATTTTCAGACTCAGGGAACCAGGGGTTTTGGCCTATGTTTAGTTTAGCAATATCGACGTATATTGACGTATACCCCCGTATGTGTTTCGATTGATTCTAGATATATCACCCCGTTTTCTGGCTTTCATCTCATTGGATATGCCGCATTCCAGTTTGCCGATGATGTCCCTTTTATACCATCCACCCATGCTTCCAAACAAGCTTCAGATCCGGCCGTTCTGCCCCACCAACTGCAGGTCCACTGCTAGGTTGGCGTGCGCCGCCATCTCCTCAGACGGAGCTGCCAGACTCTATGCATTCGGGATCGGATCATCCTTTGCCCATCGTAAATGAACCCAATAAGAAGGTATGATGAACCATTTTACAATAATAAATTAGCAATTTGCAATAATACATGGACCGTTTATGACCGTTTACAATAATTCGTCAACCAGAAATGAACCGATCTTTGAGATGATCGGTGTACCCTTATTGGACATGATCTACATTGAGGTCTGGAAGGGTTCAGTCACCAAAAAAACCCTACAGTACCCAGATCCTCTCCCGCTTCATTGCTCGGAAACCTCGCCAGACCCAGTCGGACTCGCTGCCACGGGGCGAGGATGACATCAAACCCTTCTGGTGCAGCTGCTTTGCAGGCCTCTAGGTAGCCCTTCTCACCTAGCTGGGCAGAGAGTGAAGTCCCATGTCAAAACGGTATGCTTCTCAGCCTTGTGAGAGTAGACAGCATAATCAAAAACCATCAAAAACCTCAAAAATCCTTCAAAAATACACCATCACCCAATGATTTTTGGGGCGAGGGTCCCAACACTCTCACCAGCCACCAGCCTTACCCCAGAGTCGCGGTCCCAGCGGCGATGGTTCACCGCCTGGGCCCCTGCTTTCACCACCGCCTCAAGCCCCGCAGCCGTGCCGGCACTGCCCACCACGCTGCAGCCCATATCCTTCCTGAAAAATGGAGGGCCATTGGATTTAAGGCATCAATGATGGGGAGAAACAACACATGATACCATTTTTGGTGACCAATGTCCATATATCGCTGATGGGTAGGTTTCGAATGTGGTACCGAATCATCAGCCTTGGGGTACCCCATTTTCGACCGGTAAACTCGGGTGCTTCCAGGATGTCAACCACCTGGGATGAACTGGGCAATTGACTTTGCAACCCGAGATATCTCATACGGATGTGTCTGAAAACAGGGTGTGTCCCAAAAATACCATTCAAATGGGAAAGTATGATGATTAACCATCAAATTAGGAACAATGATTTGTCCATTCAAAACTCCATTTACTTCGGGCATTTCCCATCTAGCCATGTTTAATTCCCGAAGGTACTAACCAATATCCCATTGATACCCCACCAATATCCCATAGAAATATGTCATTCACATCCCCTTTTATTTGTTCAGCAACCCATGAAAATCCATGAACAACCCTAAATAGATGGTTATAAATCAATATAAATCATCCAGTTTCCCCGTGTTGATTGGTGAACTCACCAGTTTTGTTGGCTAAATCACCAGCGCTTCAAGTCGCGCCAGTTGTACGGCAGCAAGGCCAACGGCACCACTAGCACCATGGATGAAGACGCGAGAACCGCGAGAGACCTGGATTGTTTGCTATATAAATATCACATGTGTATCTATATACAATCTATATATATATATTATACAAATATCGCATATAAAGTCAGATGTATGTATATGTATATATATATATCATTAATGTATATGGGGTATATATATATATTATTAATGCATATGGTGTATGTATGTATGTATATATATATATTATTAATGTACATGGTGTGTATATATATATATATTGATGATGTGCACACGAGTATATATATATATACATATACATATATATATATACATATATATATATACATATACAGCGGGGTTGTCTGAAAATTGAGCACCCAAAAAAATCCCAGTGTTTAAAATTGTTTTCCCTATCGACGTGGCTGTGGGCATACACCGTTGTCAGACACAACCACATGAGAGTTGCTCTGGCTTGGTACACCTTCAAACCCCAGCGCTAGATTGTTTTATATATTGTTTTTGATTCTTCTAGAAAGATCTCCCGGCTTTACCTTGGTGTGTGTAGAGTTTGGTTCTATCATGTTCTATCGGTTCCCTATCTTGAGCATGTTCTAAGGTTTCCCAGAGTAGTTTGTTCAGTATCTTTCCATTGTTCCATCTTCTTCTAGATCTCCTGGCTTAGCTTGTGAGATAACTGTAACATTTTCTCTAGTTTCAGCTACTTGATCCCTAGCTGTAGCAGCTTTAGCGTGCTTTACTTTGTTTTGGTTTTAGATTGGTTTCTAGTTCCAGCTAATGCTACGCTTTGATTTTGTGCTAGCTTTAGCGCGTGATCCAGTTGTAGCCATTGCAATAGTTTGATTTGTTCTAGCATCAGATTGAATTCAAACTGTGGCTATAGCTATATCATGATCTTTACTTCCAGATTTCCTCCTGGACAGATGTTTGCTTCGGCTGTTCTCCGTCTTGTCTTTCGTTGCTCCGGCCAGCCCCTGGGATGCTGTTTTTCATGGCATGCTCAAGGCAACAAAGGTGAGCTGACACAACTTTTGCGCCAACCAATTTGCCTTTTACGCGAGGTGCTACACCAACCAGCGCTTGCACACACTGGCTTTACGCAATCCAGTTTTTGCACAAACTAGTTCGCACACAATTTCTTTCTACGCCGACTACACCTTGTGCACAAACTAGCTTTTACACACGCTTACTTTTACACCAACTATCCTTTACAAAACCTAGTTTTACACCAACGAGTTTTCACACCAACTGCCTTTTACACAAGCTAGCTGTTGCACAAACTAGTTTTTTACACCACCTTTTTTTGCACATACTAGTTTTTAAACAGAGTAGCTGTTACACAACCCGGTTTTCACACAAAATAATTGTTACACCAACCTGCTTTTGTGCCAACTAGTTTTTACACAAACTAGCTCTTGCGCAACCCAGCTTTAATTTTTACGCCAACCAAACTTTGCACGATAAGCCTTTGCATCAACAAGCACAAGACGGTTTATCATTGGACAGGCTCCTCTTGGCCCTCATCCAGTAGGCCACTGGGCCAAAGAATAGCTGGATGTTTTCAAATAAATGCCCAGTACATCCCAGGTGGTTGATGGTGGTTGAGATACATATACATTACATTACATTTACATTTTACATGTGCATCTACATTTACATTTACATTTATATTACACTACACTACAATACACTACAATACACTACAATACACTACATCGTGTTACATTGCAGTACACTGCACTACATTTCATTACATTACAGTACGGTATACTACACTACAGTACACTACACTAAATTGCATTACGCAACACTACGCTACATTGCATTACACAACACTACACTACATTGCATTACATTACATTACATTACATTGGATTAGATTAGATTAGATTACATCACATTACATTGCATTAGATTAGATTACATCACATCACATTACATTACATTAAATTAGATTAGATAAGATCACATTACATTCCGTTCCATTCCATTCCATTCCATTACATCACATTACACACATATACACATATCCCATTTGATATCCACAAAAAAAAATATAAAAGGTTGATTTTACACCCGCATCACATCAAATCATCCAGCCTGGCCCCTGTGCTTCAGAGCATAGTACGCCGTAGCGCAGGGCACCCCTACGCCGGCCCCTTGTGCGAAGCTGATGCCGTCCTGGCTACTGTGCGGTTTGGAAGTTTACCAACAAAGTGATGGGGGGTGAAAGCAACCTGCTTACCCTCTGGTAACATAGCTGTGGAAAATCGTCTTTTTGATAGGCAAATGATCTGGAAATGGACTAGTTTCCATTGCCATGTTAGTTTACTGGAGGGTATGGTGATTCGATGGTGATACAATGGGGAAACCATGGGAAGATAATGGGAAAATGATAGGATATACAGTCATGTGAAGCAACTTTACTGAGACCGGTTGCTCATTAAGGACATAATTGGGATATAATGATGGAGGTAATAGTGATACATATACGTATACTATATAATACTATATATAATGGGGATACAATATAGTTGTGGGACATCTCATTCCACTGATGGTGATACAATGAGAATATACTAGGATATGATGGGGATAGCATGGGAAGATGGTGGGGCATAATGTGAAGATGGTGGGGCATAATGTGAAGATGGTGGGGCATAATGTGAAGATGATGGGATGTAGTGGGCGATGTGTCTATAACAAAGAACTGAGATGGGTTGGTATGCAAGGACATGTTGAGCCAAAAATAAGGGACATATCTAATATCCATAAATATCCCGGCGGGTTGTTTATCGAACCCGCGTTTTCAACGTTTGCAGTGTTCGTCATTGATTTCATACCACAAATCACAGTCGTTTTGCATCTCTCTCAAAAGTTCAGTTTCCTTAAAAAGTACGCGCGTACTTTTCACTGGATATGTAAAACACCTCAGCGGCACTCTCTTTTTTTCTGCGCTAAGTGTTCTTCACAATTTCTGCAGTGAGCTTGGAGAGGTTTTTGTGGGAACTGTTTTCCCATCTCCACTAACAAGCGCGAACATGCGTCCAAATCTTGCCATTGAGCAAGGTTGGATTCCTAACACCCTTCGTACAATAACGTAGCATCATATATGTGAGGAAGTGCAAGACGACGTACAGCAGCGTTGCATCATAAATGTGAGGAAGTGCAAGACGACATACGGTGGAGTTGCATCATGTATGTGAGGAAGTCCAAGACGACGTACACTAGCGTAGCATCATATATGTGAGGAATGGCAAGACGACATACAGTAGCGTAGCATCATGCATGTGAGGAAGTGCAAGACGACATACAATAACGTAGCATCATATATGTGAGGAAGTGCAAAAAGACGTACAGTAGCGTAGCATCATGCATGTGAGGAAGTGCAAGACGACGTACAATAACGTAGCATCATATATGTGACAAAGTGCAAGACGACGTACAATAACGTAGCATCATGCATGTGAGGAAGTGCAAAAAGACGTACAGCAGCGTAGCATCATGCATGTGAGGAAGTGCAAAAAGACGTACAGTAGCGTAGCATCATGCATGTGAGGAAGTGCAAGACGACGTACAATAACGTAGCATCATATATGTGAGGAAGTGCAAGACGACATACACTAGCGTAGCATCATATATGTGAGGAAGTGCAACACGACATACAGTAGCGTTGCATCATATATGTGAGGAAGTGCAAATGAAGGTTATTACCCCACCCCACCCCACCCCACCCCCTTAACCCCATGAAAGACATAGAAACATGCAAAACGCTGGTTCGGTTTTCAACCCGTAGGCATAAATATCCTTGAGCCGCAGCTGAACATTTCCAAAGTTCAGGCTGAAGATTTTCATGTTTTTGGTGGTACCCCCACAACAATGGATGTCTCAATACAACAAGTCGGCAATTTTGAGGGTACCCATACTGACAATTGTATATGGCATGGGATGCGTTTCATGTGAAACTACGACGCAACCAAATTTCCGGCTAATGGTAAATAAACATGGCAATGGAAAACCGTTCACGGATGATTTCCTCACTTGAAACCTCCATGTAGAAAACATTTCCCAGCCGGCCGGCCGGCCATGTGTTAATTGTGAATACCGACTTGCTGACTACTGACATGTTCAAATCCCACGCAGCCCTCGTCAAGGAATGTACGCCAGGGAACGGGCAAAGGAAATACCCCAGAGGCATCCAAGTTTGCGTGACTTGCATAAGTGCCAGTGCCACTTGCACAAGTATACCTCAGCAACTGCAAGTCCCATATGGGAAAAAAATGTTGAGGTCAGAGAGATATGTGCGCATATGTCAATATATGTAGGTATATGTAAACATGCTAATATATGTAAACATATGTAAATATATGTAAATAT